TCTATCATCCGTGCATCCCTAAGAACTGGCTGGATGGGGCTAAGGCAGTCCTCCCTAGTTCTCAGTTTATCAAATGGTATGCCTTTTATAAGGAGGAATGTAGTGTACCAGCCGAGACAAATAGGCAAGTGAACCCTGCCATCCCTATTACCTGTCAGGAATGGGAGACGGTGACTCCACTGGGGTCCAGCAAGCACAGGTACCTGGGCCATATTGGGATCAGGTAAGGCAGACTGGGTTGAACGCCTGGGCTAAACTGGATGATGGACCTATTGAGTTTCCCATAGCTGGGGTGAGGCAGAATTCTGGCAAGCCTTTACCAGAGTTTATAGACCAGGTCCAACAGAGCATTCAGCACAAACTGCCACCCAGGGACCTCAGAGAACAAATTATCAAACTGCTCGTATGGGAGGGGATGAATGGGGACCACAGAATGGCCTGCATGGGATTAAAAGACAGTCCCCTGAGCAGATGGGTGGTAGCCTCTCAAGATGTATGTACCCAACACTGAACTTACAGGCACAGATGGCTGCCATGACAAAGGCCATCACCCAGGACCTGGCAACCCAGGGGTCAAGGGTCCTAGAGGCTGCCAGGAAAAGGGGCATGCTTTAGATATGGGCAGGAGGGACATTTTTAAAGAGACTGTCCTCAACAATCCCCCCAACAGGCCAGGAGGCCCCCCCCCCCTGGGCCTAGGTGTAGGAAGGGATACCATTGGAAGAAAGACTGTAGATCAAAATTTGACCTGGAGGGGGAAGCCTTTAAACTAGAGGAGAGACAGCCTGCAGCCCCATTAAAAAACGGAGGAAGCCCCTCTAAAGGTAGGATTGGAAGGTCTCATATCCCAACAACTCAAGCCCACTGGACTGTCCCCTTGATGGAAGGACTTTGCCCAAACATGACCGTTTCTATAGGACGTAAGAAGTTTCACTGCTTGATAGACACAGGGACAGATAGGACAATACTCCGGGAAGAGGAAGCACCTTCCACCAGGGAGCTTGCACCTGGAACCCCGGTTTTGGGTGTGGGAGATAACTCCCAATCAAGAGAAACAGTGACCTTAATGCGCTGGACCAGCATAGATGGGGACCAAGGGAAGATACGCCCCCTTGGTGGTTGAACGCCTTACTGCCAATTTACTGGGACGGCATGCTGGGCCAAATGAACACCATTGTGACCACAGATCGGGCTTTTTATGAGGATATTCTAGAAAAGAAAGGGGCGAAAAGGGTGCAAAAGGACGTAAAAGGGGTCACAAAGAAGTTTTTTTTCCAACCTCTACAGCTACAGGGTGGAGCCTGAGAGGCATATCCGGGTGTACCCCCAATCATGAGGGCCACTGCTCCCCCGAGTGCTGATTATCAGATGGGCACCAGGAAAACCTGTATGGGTGAAGCAGTGGCCGCTGACTAAACCTAATTTGCTAGCACTCAATCAGCTAGTGGATGAACAATTAAGGCTCGGACCCCAGTGTTAGTAATTCAAAAGACATCTGGGGCTTGGTGCATGCTCCAAGATTTGTGCAAGATAAATGAGAGGATGGAACTAGTGGGCACCCCCTTATGGGGCATGCCCTGGACCTCTGCTATTACCACAGAATATACATTTATGGTAACTGACATTAAGGATTGCTTCTTTTCTGTACCGCTACATCCAAAGGATTGTGATAAATTTGCCTTCGATATTCCTTCACATAGTTATTCCAAACCTGATCAATGTTTTGAATGGGTAGTGCTACCACAGGGAATGGCTAATAGCCCAGCCTTCTGTCAACAGTATCCTGCTACTCTCTTAAGGTCTATGCTAAAGTCAAAGGATTCAATAATATATGCTTATATGAATGATTTAATTTTGGGACAATGGGACCCAGCATATCTGGAGGGCTTTGTGGCCCAGGTGCTCCAATTGCTTAAAAAGGGGGGCTTTACTGTGGTCCCAGAAAAGGTCCAAAAGGGGTCCCCTTTCAAAGAACTTGGGTCAAGCTGCACGCTGACACAGGCTAGCCTGCTTTAAGCCTGTTTTGGAGGTACCTGAATCTATGGCCCTGACCCAGTTCCAGTGCTTCCTGGAGATTAATCGGCTGACACCCTGGGTGTCAATCCCCACAGAAGACCTGGTAACCAACCCTGTACGCCCTGCTAAAGGATAAGGCGCCTCATGATAGTATAACCATGACAAAGGAGCATCTCGAGATGCTCCTTGTCTTTCAGACACGCTCCCACTGCTGAGGCCGACTACTCCAGTTGCCACCCAGAACCCTGATCATCCCAGAAAGGTGATATGGATGGTGATGAATGCCACCAATGGGGATGTCCTCAACAGCACCATGAATGAGGCAGTCCCCCAGACCTGGTGGCTCACACTCTTCTTTGACCTCTGTGACCTGGCCCAAGGATGGTAGGATGTGAAAGATTGGACCCTGATGGGGGAGGTCCTTCTGTATATATGTTTGTCTTATTGTTTGATAAATAAAGTACTGTTGGCCAATAGGGAAGCAAGTTAGGCAGGACTAGGAGTCAAGGAGGCGTCTGGGAAATGTAGTAAAGAAGTCTTGTGATCCAGGCAGGAAGTGACATAGCAGGCAGACCCAGGATATAAGCAGAGACAAGTGGAAATCGCTCTGTTCCTCTTCCTCCTCCTCTCTTCTCTGGGAGCCGCCATGTGAGCCTGACAAAAGAGGACACATGCCGCCAGCGTCCTCAATCAGATAAGTCTTTATGAAATACATAGATTAATAATTATGGCTGATACTTAAGACAGAGATAGCAGATAAGAAATCCTAGTCATTGGCTAGCAGCATTGTAATTAGTATTGGACACTGTGTTATTTCGGGAGATTGCAGTGACCTGGGGGCTCCGACTATATCAAAAGGGATAAGACCAGGGGTTACTCTTTATCATTAGAAGAACGGTCCAGCCAACACAAGGATCCCAGTTCATTGGGACACTGACAACCCTGATTTCCACCCTGTTGAGTCCCTTTATAATAATAACCTTAATTTGTGTCTTTGAACCTTGCCTTTTCAATAGGCTGGTCAGACTAATCAGAACAAAGACTCAAGAGATCCAACTTATGACCCCTCAAGTACATTGTGATGGCTCAGTCCTAAGGATATCTCCCTTTTAAGTGAGCCTTGACGAAAGGTGCTATTAGAGGAGAACCTCTGCAGAGGTGCCAAGAGGTCCATACTTCAAAAAGAAGTGGGCCATGGTCTAAAACAAAAAGGGGGAATCTGATGGGCACATGAGTCAGTTAAAGATGGCACCAAGGGGAAGTCAGAAGTGCAAGTTCTGAGACGTTTACAAAAAAGGGTGATTGTTCGTCAAGATTGAACCAGATGAGGTCATGGCATGAATGGCTCATGTTCACCAAGTAAAGCATAGGGCACCTAGACACATGATGAGCTTAACTTTAAAACCATTGGCTGGCTATTTTCCCTCCCTGCGGGTTTTCGCTTTAAAAGATGCTTGCTGTGGGTCAATAAAGGAGTTCCTGCTTAACTAGACCCCCCACTGCGTCTGACTGTCTCCGGGATCCTGGAAGGCTAGAGAATGGGCAAGCAGGGCACTTACCCCTCCTCAGACCCAGCTCAGCCTTCCATGGTTGGGCTAAGACACTGCATCATTTATAATTATTTGTCAAAGTCTCTGACTCCCTGACAGTCCATTTGCTATGCTCATAACTCTAACAAAAAGGCCTACCACTGCACCCAGAACATAGTATGTGCTCCTTAAGTGTTTACAGAGCAATGAATTCCCCTGGCAGAGGAGCTGATTAAAAACTGACATTTTCCCTGCGTATGTATGAAAGAGAACAATTGCTAAAAATACCAACAAGGTATGGCTTATGTTGCCATGGAAAGTACTGTTGCAAGATGGGAGTGTGGCTCACTGGTGCAGCACTTGTCTGGCACACACGTGACCTGAGCTTGATTCCAAACACCATCCTACACATGGAAAAGTGCTTTGGTATCTGCTAGGTACTCATAAATGCAATATTTGAGTAACTGAAATGAATATGGGTAAATGGGAGATTAAATAAAATTAATAACATAATTATCAACATGAATAGAGAAAACTGGAAGCTAGACACAGTGAACACATCTGTAATGCCAGTACTCAGAAGGCAGAGACAAGGCTCATCGCTATAAGTTCAAGACCAACTTGGTCTAAAATCAAGTTCTAGCCAGAAAGGGCTACACAGCAATACCCTATCTCAAAAAACAAATTTAAAAGTAAAGAACAAATGAGAGAAAGAATAAATGTTTTAAAAGGAAAGAAATAAAATCAGAAATGTATACTTAGAATTCTTCCAGGTGATCACTACATAAATATCTGTAAAAAATTTCACACTCCACTTAAATTTTTATGATCTTAAAAATGAATCTTTTTACCTGGTTTGGGCTTTAACAAATGTCTCTTAAATGAACTGTGTCCTACCCACTTTTTAAGCAGATAGATTATTGTTGAGGGGAAATGCTAAAATTATTTTATAATGTTATATATTTTAATATAAATCTCATCTATCTTACCAATGCCTAACAGGTCACAAAATATGGAGATGTTTGAGCAAAACACCTCTTTGGAACAGTTAAAAGCAGTGAGGTAAAGTTTCAGGAAACAAAGTGCTGTAGAACACTGTGGCGGTCAGCCGTGACTGTGAACCTGACTGGAACTGGACAAAAGACAGCCTCTCGACTGAAACAGGCAGCAGCCCAAACAGGATCTAAGGGGACAAGTGCTCTGTTCACCTGCCTTCAGTTCTTTCCCTGACTGGGCCACGTCTATCCTGCTGCTGCTGCCACACTCCATGATACCAGAACCACTTTCCTTCCACCTTCCAACAGGGACTACAGATCTGTGACTCTTCAGGAACCTCCCAGGCCTTCTCAGCAGACTGGGTTCTTAGCCTCTCTGGGGTGCCAATGGCAACCAGTTGGGCCCTATTGTGTAAGCCAATATAATAGATCCCTTTTTATAATGCACACTCATTCTATGTTCTGTTCCTCTAGAGAACCCTGCCAAATATGAAAACTCCCAGGTCTGTATTAAAAGCAAATGATGAGAAGAAAAAAGACAAAACCCATGATATTTTTCTATATAGATATCATTAAAACCAAATCAAACTAACCTGGATTTCTTTTTTAAAATGCACATTTTTTAAACATTTCTAAAACTTTCATGCATATGCAGATGCTCAGAGTAAGTCACTCAGTATAATTTACCTGGGTCTACAGTCTCTATCCCAGTCTAATCTCCTAAGCAAATGCCAAACACAGGCACAAGTGACACCAGAAGTAGGGCACAGATACTAAAGAAAAGGAAGAAAAAGCAGCTGGCCTCAACCCTTAAAGATGACTATTACCATAGAGGCACTAAATTATGTATTAACCAGCAGGGGCAGAGAGGTGCTGCCTACTTAGGCAACAACAGCATAAGAGGTATTTCCACAAAGCACTGAGTACTTTTCATGATGACTTTTTCAGTAGTCAGTAAAGAACTTTGTTCTCGTATTACAATGGAAAGGAAATGTTACTACAGTCAAAGGATGAGCACTTAAAGCTTGAGCTGGTATCCTTATTTCCTCACCTCTGAATAGTAGGGTCAAGAGAGAAGACTGCTGCGACAAGGAAACTCGGATGACTGGGTCAGCATATAAAACCTTCCTCAGGAGTGTGAGGCATGGCTGAATCAAGCATTCTATAACCTGCCAAGGGGAAACGAGATAAAACATACCACACTGTCTTATTCCAAGTTTTATGGCTTTGTCATTAAATTACATGAAACTAAAATGAAAAGATGTTAGTTATCCTGCTTTTAAAATTACATTAAGAATTACTTTAGACTCATCACAGACCAGACCAGAGTCCTCATCCAGTGGCTGATGGAAGCAGAGACAGACATCCACAGAAATACACTGAGCTGAAATCTGGAACCTAGTTGAAGAGAGGGAGGAATGAAGAACGAAGGGGTCTGTACCAGGTTGGAGAAACCCACAGAAACAGTTGGCCTGAAAAAGGGAAAGCATAT